GTGTCATCATGTCCATTTTGGATCATGGCATAATTAACCTCCAAATGTATAAGATTTTTATACTTTATACAATTTCTCAATTATTGGAAAAAAAGATAGAGAAAACACATAAAACAAACCCCTAAACTTGGCAGCACAACTTACTATAACACTTAAATTTTACAGACATTTAAACACCCTCCTTAATAACTTTTGAGTGAATTAAGTAACACCCTGAGAGTATAATACCACTCTCACTCGTCACATCACAGTCATGTAAGCACCACATCATTATTTTTTTTTATTTTTTTGTGTATTCACTTTTTTCCTTAAACACTTTTTAAAATTCATTACATAATCAATTAATTTATTATAAAAATGCATTTTCTTAAATCAAAATTTAAAATGTGGAGCCATTTTCATTAATTTTAAATATTTTTAACAAGTGGGCCCCACTTTTTAAATACCTTCTCTTCTATGCAAATTAATATCTTAACTAAAAAATTTATTTTCTAAAATCAAAGATTAAAATGTTGAACCCATTTTCATTAATTGAAATATTTAACAAGTGGGCCCCACTGCTTAAATTTCTCCTTTTCTATGCCTCTTCCTTTCTTTCCTCTTCGTTCATTTTCACCATTTCCGATCCTCATTGAAAAAAAATTCCACCCATTTTCAACCTTTGGTTATTTTTTTCTTACAATTCACCATTTTTTGAAAAAAAAAGGGAAAAGGGTCAAAAATACCCCTCAACTTTGTTTTATTGATTGACTATACCCCCGCCGTTAAAACAAAGTTATTTATACCCTCGCCGTCACTAATTTCACCATTTATACCCCTCAACTAACGGAAATCCTCAAATCAACACAAATTACCCAATTTTTTAAAAATAACCCACCACCCCAATATAATCCAAACCCTAACCCGACCCAACTAACTTAATTCAAACCTACTTCACCTTAATATCTAAAACAAAAGTTCAGGAACTCAATATTCCTTATTGTTGTCCCCCGTCGCCATCTCCTCTGGGTTAGCAATGAAGAACCCAAAGTTTCTCTCATCGCCGCTAATTTGCGTAAACAACGAAGAGTCCAATAACCTCACGATTTCTGCAACCTCATCCTCAAGGGAACCGGTTTTTGGTTGTGATGTCTCGTTATTTTCAGTAATAGCTAAGCTTTTTAACAAGAGATGAAATTGATCAAGCAAAAGCTAAAAATTCTTCCGATTACTTAACATGTGGTCTCCAAATCGGCTCTTGACAGTTGCATCATCTTTCCATATTCCTAATCCAAAAGAAGCATTTTTATTATGTTTAGACCATGACTAAAACCTGCTAGAATTACCCTGTTAACCAGAACTAGAAAAACAAAACACTACCTCACTCACCAGGAAAAATAGGAATTGAATAAATGAAAGGCTTCATGGTTAGGTTGAAAAACATTATCTGAACATTGGCCAGTCAGAAATGCATTGAATCGGCGTAAAAACTTTATTTTTACTAAGTTCTATTACTATATGTTGAGATGGGTTTGATGATGACGAAGAATAAACACCTTTGAGGTAGAGAACAAAATATGAAGTTTTATTGTTTTCTTGTGAATTAGCTGAGAATATAAATGCACCATGAATTGATTTAGAAATAGGGGTTCAAATCGATTGCGTTAGTTTGTCGGAATTGAAGAAAGAACAGAATGAGAACGAAGAGAGTTACCCTTCAATTGCTTGATGACATGTTTGAGGCAGACGATTTCGATTATAATGTGAACTTTTTTGATAGAGTAAGAAAAAGCCATTGTTATCGTTCTAAGCGTTTTCTTCGTCATGTGCACAAGTTGAAGAGAGAAGAGAGGAGAGGGGATTGCGTTATTAGTTGACGGGTTATACGGATTATACCATAGAGGGGCCAGGATATTGTGTTTAAAATGGGAATGGGTCTTTTTAAAAAAATTTGGATTAATTTGTGTTGATATGAGGATTTCCGTTAGTTGAGGGGTATAAATGGTGAAATTAGTGACGGCTATAGTATAAATAACATTGTTTTAACGGCAGGGGTCACTACAACATTTTAGGCCTACGACCACACTAAATTTGTATAACGCTTGTAAAGTGTTGCCTAAAATACTTTTGGGAACGCTTCTAAAGTGTAGCCCAAGTTTTTAACTTTTGGTATCGATAATATTGGCAACACTTGTAAAGCGTACTCTTTAATGGTATAGGCTACATTTTATAAACGTTGTTATATTATGATATAATTGGCAACAACTATTTACATATATGGCCACACTTTTAAAATGTCCTACTTTTATAATTGTAAAAACAACACATTACAAGTGTGGCCTTAAAATTTTCACTAAAATAATATATTCCCTCCAACATTTTTAACTCTCCCTCCCATTTTTATAGGCCAAAAGAAATAATTCATAAAACATTAATCAGAAAAACGACACACTTTTTTCTTTCTTTGAAGAACGACACACTTTTCTCTGGAGAACTGAAGAGCGAGCTGAAGAAGAGTAAGCTGAAGATCTGAAGCTAAGAACTGGAGAGCTGATGCTAAGAACTAAAGAGTTGAAGTGACCACGATTTCTCTGATACTAGTTTCGTCAAGCGTAAGTACCCAATTCTTGATTCTTGGTTCTTGAATTTATAACTATGTTTTCACACTTGTATGTATAAGGTTGTGTTTTAATAATCACCATGGGTGCTTGTACCTCAAAATCTCCAAGACCCAATCCTTATTCCCCATAAGAAATTCTTCCCCCACAGAAAACACCAAATCTTGCTGAAACCCAGAAAGATAATGAAGCTAAAAATCACCTCTACTCCAGCAAGGTTGTTTAAACACCCTTTTCTCCTCCTTCTCCAACGAAACATATTAAAGCTTTGCTATTGAGACGGCATGGTAGTGTTAAGCCTAATGTTGCAACTATTCCTTAAGGAGAGGAAACTAAGGGGGCTAACTTGGATAAGAGTTTTGGGTTTTCTAAGCAATTTGCGAGTAAGTATGAAATTGGTGAGGAAATGGGTAGAGGCATTTTGGGTATACTTGTTCTGCTATTGTCAAGATAGGTGAACTTAAGGGTTAGAAAGTTGTTGTTAAGGTCATTCCAAAAGCCAAGGTCTCTTGCATTGAAATGTATTTGCATATTGAATTACCTACAATGTTTGATTATTGAAGTACATGGTGGGAAAAATTGGTCAATTTTATGAGTCCATTTTCTTTTATTTAAGTTATGTTGGGATTTTAGATTTGTTCTCTCTGTATGTCATGAACACCATTAGATTTGATGAGTCAATATTCAGTAGCCGAGATTCCTTTTTATTCTCTACTAATTTTTGTTTTGTGTTTAGAAGGAATTGATTACTTTGGGGTTGTTGGAATGGAACAAATCACGAGTTACAGCTGAAATTCCAAAGTATGGGAAGAAAGTGCCAAAGAACACGATTTCTGTTGTAGCTGGTTTTACTGCTGTTTATTGGGTAAGGACACAACATTTTTCGCATCTTATCCTTACTAACATTTTCTTATAGCTATACAATTGTTCGGATATGTTTAAGATCACAAGTTTTAAGGATACTTCTGGTGTACTAATTACCTACTGATAATATAAAATATATGTATATAATCAAATAAACATAAGATAATCACAAATTTATCTGTTAAATTGAAAAGCACACATGTGGTTCAAAATCATCATTGAGAAGAATGTTTGATGATTGACATCTCTGTGAATAACAGGCCTTCGACATTCATTGTGTAGGTAATTCAAAGCTTCTGCAATTCCAACAACTATTCTGCATCTTTTTTCCCATGTCAATACTGATTTGGTTATTCCTACATTCCAAATTAACTCAAGATTAACGAATTAAAACAGGGTTTTATGTGCAAAATATATTCTTTGGTTTGCAACAAGCTTATTAAACTATACTTGCTGAATTTCATAAAATACTTTGACTGATGGTCTACTTATATGAACTTGAGTTTCTCATGATATAGTTTATGGTGTTGAATTAGATTCAAGTATCATTTTTTTATATGGGAGATGTTTTGACTGAATAAGTATACTGGTAAGTATACTGAGATGTTACAACCTAAGTTTTAGAATTAGTGTTACCAACTTGACTAAAAGCATAGTTATGAGTCTTACCTGTCTGTAGTAGAGTGTCTTGTTGTTGTTAGAGTTGAGTTTCTACTTTTTCCATGCTTTGTTTGGTGTGCCTGCTATCTTGATTTACATGTCTGCATTAGAGAATTTTTGGATATTTCTCCTGTTGTCCCTGTTCTTTGGCCTGAGGTGGAGTTCAAGTTGGATATAGCTACTGCAATCTGCTATAAATATGCAAATCTGCAATCTGCTATAAATCTGCAAATCTACAAATCTGTAAATCTGTAATCTACAATCTGCAAATTTGCAAATCTGCAATCTGCAAATTAGCAAATCTGCAATCTGCAATCTGCAAATTCACAAATTTGTAATCTACAAATCTGCAATCTGCTATCCATCCTTTAAAGATGTAACCAAAACTTCCTTCGCCAAGAAGACTATCAGCTCGGATATTCCTAGTTGCATTTTTCAGTTCATTGTAGGTAAATGATTTGAGGTTGCTTGGAATAAATGAATCATTTGTACAAAAACTGTTGTGAAATGAGTCATTATAAGAATGAAACTGTTCCTTTTTCACACTGCCTGAAGAGCTAGAATTAGAATATGAAATAGTATTTGGTTCAGTTGAGCCAGAATTTGAGTATATGAATCCTTACTATTCGTGTCACTCCACTTAAGCTTCTCCAGTAGAACAAGTAATGTACATTTTCTATTTTCTTGTAAATTTCTAACAAGACTAAAAAAATCCAAACAAATATTGTAACTCAATATACCAAAGCAACAAACTTCTATACAAACCAGAACACAAAAGAAATGAATAAGAAAGGGTTCAGGAGGCAGATCTCTGTTCTGCTATTGGACATTGTCTGACTGCTTGTGAACAAGGTTCAAGAGGCAGAACTCTAATGCAGAATGGTTGAATATGACCGGTACGTTTCTGAATAAGGGAGGTGCATAGGTTCAGATTATAGATTTTTTTATGAAGGATGCTGAGTGATCTGGTAGTCCTGGCAGGTTCATATTATAGGGTGAGTCCTGGCAGTTAACTGTAGTAGATAAGAAAATTGATAAGAACACACTTCATATGCCAGCTGCTACTTTACAGTGCAAAAATAGATGCCTAGCACTCTCCAACATTGTCGATGGCACATATAACATTCATCAGGGCGTGTTTTTCCTTCTGTAAAATGCAGTCAACTTTAGCCTTAAAATCTGGTTCAACTTGCCTGCTTAGAACTTGGAAGGCTACATAACACTTGAAGTAAAATTAATGAACTCTTTTTAAAATTAGGTTTCCAGTAAACCTTATCACAGGGTTCTGTTAAGCCTTGAACACTTCTAGAGTCTTGAAAAATTTCACAACTTCTTCTTATTCACAGTCCTTCTATAAGTAATATTTCACCCTTTAGGATGCAAGATTATAGCTAATCTTGCTTCAGGTCAGGGATAACTTAGAATGAATAAACTCTACGAAACTTTAAGTTTTTTTGGTGTGATCGACTATCTATTATAGGATCATTGTAATATTTGCTTGAATGTTTAAACATGGTAGTAGATGTTTGATACTTCTCTGATATGGTGTGCACAAGAATGAGATTTTAAAATTTTGAGACATAGTTTTAAAAAGCTCAAAAAGATTCTCACACTATATTGTACTTTTGGTCTTCTAAATAAAGTGTTTGAACTTCTTTAAAATGTTGTTTACAACTTGAACCTGCTTCTCGATAGAATTTCTTAATCTTGATTAGTTCATTTAATTGTGTCTATCCTATTAGTTTACTTTCTTTCTTAATTGTGTCTATCCTATTAATTTTACTTATTTTTCCTTAGAAGTATAATCAACATTCAGAAACATTTGTGGAGAATTCAAGGTCTGATTTGGCACAGCACAAGTGCCATGACTAGGTAAGAAACTTTTATCATCTCATAACACCTGATTCTCATAACTTACTCATGACTTTTTAAACTTATTTGTGAAATAGTTAATGATTTAATGATTGTTACTGTAAGATTAAATATTGATATCTTCTTCTAGGAATTCAAATATCCTATCCAAGGATTGGATGGATTTAGCAAGGTATAGCAAATCGTATATTGATGGTGTTGAATCATTCCTAGATTTTGCTTACTCTTATGGAGATCCTCAAGGAGAGGAAATTCAGTGTCCATGTGCAAAATGTTGTAATATTCGTTGGACTCGAAGGAATGTAGTGTATGATCATCTAATATGTTATGGATTTGTTAAAGGTTATACTAGATGGATTAATCACGGGGAATGGGATATCAAGTTGAATGTTGACGATGATATGGATTACTCGCATAATGATATTTATGGGTTGCTGAATGATCAATTTAGAGATATTGCACAAGCTGAAGGAGTTTATGATGGTCCAAATGAAGATGCCAAGAATTACTATAACTTAGTTGAAGAGGCAAGCCAAGAATTATATCCTGGTTGTACAGGATTCTCTAAATTATCATTCACACTTCGCTTATATTTGTTGAAGTGTCTACATGGATGGAGCAATGAATCATTCACTTCTCTTTTGGAGTTATTAAAAGAGGCGATGCTCGAGTTGAACATTCCTCCGTCTTACAATAAAACCAAGTCTATGGTTAAGAATCTCGGTCTTGATTATGAGAAAATTGATGCATGTCCAAATGATTGCATGTTGTTTAGGAATGATCATAAGGATGATGAATTTTGTCATACTTGCGGAGCTTCACGATATATTAAAAATCCTGAAATTGATAGTGAGGTTGAGCCTTCTAAAAAATCACATCGAGTTTCAGCAAAGACTTTGAGACACTTTCCATTAATTGCTAGACTCAAAAGGTTCTTTATGTGCTCAAACACGGCAGATTCTTTGAGGTGGCATGACGAGGAGCGTTCTAAAGATGGAAAGTTAAGGCATCCTGCAGATGGTCAAGCATGGAAAGATTTTGATAGGTTGCATCCAGATTTTGCACTAGATTCTCGCAATGTGAGACTTGGATTAGCAAGTGATGGGTTCAATCCATTTTGAACCATGAGTATATCTCATAGCACATGGCCAGTTATGTTGATGACATATAATCTGCCGCCTTGGATGTGCATGAAATCTGAATATTCTATACTTTCTTTACTTATACCTGGGCCACGATCACCTGGAAATGACATTGATATTTACTTACAACCTTTGATGGATGAGTTAAAATTGTTGTGGGATTCTGGGGTTGAAATATAAGATGCTTCAAGAAATCAAACTTTTCAAATGCGAGCAGCTCTTATGTGGACAATCAATGACTTTACTGCATATGCTATGTTGTCTGGATGGAGTACAAAAGGAAAGTTTGATTGCCCTTGTTGTAATTATAACACGAATTCTCGCTATCTTAAGCATAGTCGGAAAATGTGTTATATGGATCATCGTGTTTTTCTACCCATGGATCATCCATGGAGATCTAACAAAAGATCTTTCAATGGAAAAACTGAATTCAGGCCTCCTCCACCTTTATTAAAAGGAACTAATATACTTAATAGCTTACAAGATTTTGAAAATGTGTTTGGAAAGAAGAGAAAGAGATCAAATGATGGCCCATGGAAAATAAGGTCAATCTTTTTTGAATTACCTTATTGGCATCGCAACTTGTTACGCCACAACCTTGATGTAATGCACATAGAGAAGAACATAGTTGATAGCATACTTGGAACTCTTTTGGATATTCCTGGCAAAACAAAGGATCATGCAAAAGCCCGATATGATTTGAAAGAGATGGGAATTAGAAAGAATCTTCATCCAAAATATACTGGAGATAATAAGAGAACAAAGTTTGCAAAAGCTTTCTTCTCAATGACAAATGGAGAGAAATCAGTTTTTTGTGGAGTTTTAAAAACAGCTAAGCTACCTGATAGCAGTGCCTCCAATATATCTAGGTGTGTACAACTGGATGAAAGAAAATTGTCTGGTTATAAGACCCATGATGCTCATTTCATGTTACATTACTTGCTTCCAATACCAATTAAAAACATCCTTCCAGATCATGTGGCTATTGCTTTGATTCGTCTATGTTCCTTCTTCCAACGTTTGTGTCAAAAAGTTATCACATTGGAGGAACTAGATTGCTTAGAAGTAGAGATTAGAGAAACAATAAATCAGTTGGAGCGAATTTTTCCTCCGTCATTTTTTGATATAATGATTCATTTGGCGAATGAAGTGAGATTAAGAGGTCCAGCTCAGAACCGATGGATGTATTCCACTGAAAGAGAAATGGGTACATTCAAATCATATATCCGCAACAGACGTTATCCAGAAGGTTGCATATAAGTGGCACGTGTGGGAATAGACTGTATGAATTTATTTTCTAGATATCTGCATGGGGTTGTACAAACCAAATTTAACAGAAGAGCCAGAAATAATGATGAATGTGACCCAAGTGATGCAGAAACAGTGAGTTTGTTTCCTAAAAAGGGATGTCCTTTAGGAGCAAAGAAAACTGATCCATTTATTTTAGATAACAAGACACTAAGTCAGGCACATGCATACTTATTGGGAAATTGTGATGAGATTCAAGAATATATTAGGTACTTTAATTTAATATAGTATTTTCTATTGTATAATTAATTTTTAACTTATTTTATTTATCGTTTTAACAAAAAATACATGTTGTGTAGAGAGAATGAGCACGAGGTTAATAATCATTCGCGAAGATCTAAATGGCTCAAGGCCAAGGATCATTGTCAAAACTTCTCTCAATGGTTTGAAACTCGTGCTTTGCAAGAGGATGTGCCTGATTTGATAAAACAATTGTCTAAAGGACCAAATTCTGTTGCTAAAAGATACTCTGGGTATCTCATTAATGGATATAGATTCCATATTAGGCAGCGTGATGCAAGGTGTAAAACACAAAATAGTGGTGTTACACTTGTTGCCTCAACTACGAACTTTGCAAGCTCAAAGGATAAGAACCCGATTGCTGCAGATTTGACTTATTATGGTAGAATAGTTGATATAGTTGAGTTAGACTATTATAGTCATTTTAAGGTTGTTTTGTTTAAGTGCGATTGGTATGAGGTTGAAAAAGATATTTATGGCCTTACTTATGTCTATTTTAACAAGAGATGCTCTCAGGAAGAGCCTTTTGTGCCTGCATCTCAAGTACATCAATGCTTCTATGTGCAAGATCCATATGATCAAGATAGACATTATGTTATGAAGACTGTTCCGAGAGACTTGTTTAACTTGAGTGATGAATTTGAATATGATCTCCCACAAAGTTATGAAAATGAGTTGTCTGAACACTTGATGGGACCATTCATACCAGAAGATGATGGTGAAGTTCCTTTAGTAAGGACTGATGTACCAGAAACTGTTATTGATGTGCCTTCGAAGGAATTTGTTACTCAACAAATTGAGGTCGAGTATGAAAATGAGTTTGAAGATGAGTTTGAAAAAGAGTGTGAAGATGGGTCTAAAAATGAGTATGAAGACGATTCTGAAGATGAGTCGGAAGATGAGTCTAAAGACGAGTTTGAAGATGACACACCATGAGTTTTACTATTTTTGTGATGACCATATAGTGCTAACTCACTCTTTTTGTTATTTAACTGTTTTTGTACAAACACCTTAAGATATCTAAGTATTCTGTTGGCTTCGTTTATGCGCCTGATTGTTGTTTGGTCAATAATTTATGTTAGCTTCTTTAATTTATGTAATTATTGTTTTGTTGATGAGCATGTAATTCTAGCTTACTATTATTTTATTTGACTGTTTGTTGGCATAAACTTGTATGACTAAGGTTAGTAATATCTGGAGTATTCATGTTACAATTATCAAATTGCTTTCTAATCAGTAAATGTGAATTGTTGTTATCTAAATACTTATTTTTTCCTATTATTATCTGGCATTGGGCATTACAGGCAGCACAGTGAAGGTAGCACAGTGAAGGCAACACAATGAAATTAGTCATCTGTATGTAGTACTCCCTTATCTTTCTAGAAACTAAAGATTATTTCACTACTTGTTCTCATTAGCACAGTGAAGGCAACACATTTAAATCTTTTAAAGTTAGATTTCTATAGCTTTTCCTATCTAATAATCCTAGAACGTATATGATTATGAGGCTAGAACCTCTTCTCTTTGCAGGTTTGCTTTTATCAAAGTTAACAATCACTTGATTATTGTTTTGTAGGTTAACTTACTGTAGGGAAAGAAAATAAAGAGATTTAAAGAAAGTGGGAAGAATGAGTCAATCAGTAGCACTAAAGAAAAAGGGTTCGAATCCGAACAAAGCTCAAAGTCCATTGAAGAATATGAACTTTGATATGCAATACCGATCAAGTACTGAATTGGCTAACCAATTCAAGATTAAGAGAGAACAACTTGCTAACGAACGCAATGATAAAGCTAAGAAAGAGCATGCACCAATAACGCATAAAAGAAAGAATTCTGAGGATTTCATTCCACAACAAGGAAAGAGTAAATTGGTTGAGTACAAATTAGTAATTCAATCGTCTTCAAGGGAAGAGCTTGGTACCTCACATATGGTTGTTGGAAAAGGACAAACTAAAAAGAGCTTATTTCAATCTGGAGAGTCCATTCAAGAGAAAGGAATTAAACTTCCTATGCACAACTTTAGGTTCCAAACGTCTTCCCAGAAAGGTGTTACTGCTTCAGTACATGTGACTGGGGAAACACTTGGTAATGCAGAGGAACAATATGATATTCAAGATCTACTAAACTTCAAACAGATGAAGAGGAAGTCGGTCCTACCGGCTACAAGTCTTGATCAGTTTCTGGAAGAACAACAGCTGCAGAAAGAACATGATATTAATGATCTACCAAACTGCAAGCAGGTAAAGAGGAAGTCGGTCCTACCGGCTACAAGTCTTGATCAGTTTCTGGAAGAACAACAGCTGCAGAAAGAACATGATATTAATGATCTACCAAACTGCAAGCAGGTAAAGAGGAAGTCGGTCATACCAACTACTAGTCTTGATCAGTTTTAAAAAAACAAGTGATACACATAGGTGATGAAACAAAAACTGATAACCACACAGTAGCTGATGATATTGTGGATAAAGAAGAAATCGGCGGGGATAAGTGTGCTATAGACGAGGAAATTGGCATTGATTGTAGTACAAAAGGTATGTCTTAAGCATTGTAAGATTTATTACTTACATAAAAGGAAATTCTTATTTCCTTACTGTTACATAAATCTAGGAATATTGGAGCCGAGAAAAAACAACATGTAAGGATATTCACGCAAGATATTTGGAAGAAAGAGAGGAAGTGACATTTGATAAAGGACAAGCAGTGAGACCAACTGGTAAGATAGTGTCGGAATTAACCAACTTTATAGGACAATTTCAAGGAATCCTAGATTCATCAACTTGATGTACACTAGTTGGCATGCGGTGCCAAAAGATACTAAAAAGCCCATGTGGGAATATATCAATGTAAGAACAATTAATTTTGAGATTGCATATTTTATTGTTTGTTTTTTCTGGATGAGGCTAAATATATTTTATTTTGCATAGTCAAAATTCCTAATTCCAGCAGAAGGAAAGAAGTGGGTCATGACTGGTCTCCGTGATGCTTGGAGGCGACACAAGTAAAAAATTAAAGAGAGATGTTTTGATAAAAATAGTACCGTTGAGGATATGCTAGCAAAACGTCCTAATGACATGCCAGAAGGTCAATTTCGTCAATTGATCAAGTATTGGAATCACCCAACTGTTCAAGTAAGGCTAAAATAGTTCATTTCTACTCTTCAACTTATTTTGCATCATATCTATTCTTTTTTTGTTTTATTTATTAATTCAAACATCTCTTTTTATTTAATTATAGGCCATGTGTGAGATGAATTCTCAAAACAGGAAAAAGCAAAAGTGGAGGCATCGAATGGGACCTATTAATTTTGCAAGAGTACGCGTGGCATTGGTAATACTTAGCAGACATTTCGTAAAAAAATCAAATTTCATCTTTTGTACTATTTTTTACTAGCCATTGTCCACTGTATCATCCTCGTCCATATGTTTTTTAATCTCTTTTGATGTTATTTGTAGCGTGCAACCAAAGAAAACAATGAGGAACCATCCAAGTGTGAAATGTTTATTGCAACTCGTACAAAGACGGGAAAGGAAATCCAGGCCGATACTCAAGTTGCAATAGTAAGTTTTTTAAAGTGGATTAGTGATGAATTTAATTCAGGTTTAAAAGTATATATTGTTGGGAGGGTGATAATTTTATTTTAATATGCTTGAGTCGTTGGATAGTTTGCTTGGAAGGGATGTCAAATAAAGTTAACTTAATGAATCATAAACTCATTTAAGCTGGAAAGAAAGAAGTACTTACATTTAATATGGATGTCAATTTTATTCAATAGGCTGAACTTTAGAAGCACCAAAATTTCGGGGAAACAACAGATGATGCTTTTACGGCAGTGTTTGGAAAGGAGCAACCTGGTCGACTAAGGTGCTATGGTAGATCAGTGACAACAAGTTCTTTAAAGAAAGATGAGGAAACTAACGAGCTAAAACAGAAACATGCCAATGAAATCACTTCTCTAAAAGAAGAAATGAATGAAATGAGAGAAGAAATGCAACATTTCTTTAGTCAATTGCTTCAAAACAACCCTAGATTGAATGTTCGAGATATGCCAGGGTGTGTTGGATCTAACATTGCTTCACCTATTGATGCGAGTAGTGCATAAGCTGTAAAAGGCCAAAATCTTCCACATTCTTCCGGGTCAACTCATGATCCGATTCTTCAAAAGGTATTTCATATTTTTTCAAATGTTCTTTTTTTATAACAATAAGTTAGCAAATTAGTATCCTAAAGAACTATATCCTATGTGATTGTAAATTTGTGATAGTTGGCTAATTAGTCGTCTCAATTTTTTTGAAAGTCTTCTTTGTGGTAGTTGGCTTATTGATGCAGTTAATTGCAAGCTTTCTAACTTCATGTTTGAATCATTCAAAGTTCTCTAGTTTTGGCATGAATGATCTAGAAGTTATATTGAAAAGCCTCTAAAAGTTTTCACTTGACATGGGTTCACTTGCCATGGGTTGTGGTGTTGTTGGTTCCTTAAGGCTTTTCTCTCTTTTGAACCTCTCAACTGTATTTTCCTCAACCTTGTCTAGTTCTTCATTCAAATCATCCTTTGTTTTGTTTGTTGATGTATGAAATTGTGAAGCTGGTTTTCTTGTTCTTCTTGTTTGTTGCTTTGTTCCTGCACAATAAGATTATTATAGTTATTATGAGTAGAATTAGTAGATTTAAGTGTCTTACCTGACTGTGCCTTAGGCTGATATTGTTGGTCTTGCCCTGTCTTCTCTTGTGGTGATCTGGTCTCTATTGTTCTGTCTGAATCTGTATCATCATGATTTAACACCTTACCCATAATATCAACAAGGTCTTTACAATAACACTAGACATTCTAACATATACATCAATACTCTATATTCAAAGAAAATTATAAAAGAAATTCTACTTGGCTTAGATTTTGTCTTGGTCAATATCTGTGTTAGGACTTAGGAGAAATTCTATATGGGTGCCTCAGCAGTTGCATGTCCTTGAAAGATTATCCCAACTGAGAACAAGCAATTCAGTGAGCCCTTTTTTGGCAAAATGGTCTGGTGGATACCTATACTTGTACCTGTTTGTATTGTGGACCCTTCTACTTACCCTTTTGTCATCTGAACCCTTACACTTAATAAAACATAATATGTCAAACCCCTCTGACCGTTGACCATGCCTATGTGACATTAATATGGTTGAGTTGGCAAGAGAGTGAGACCACACGCCTATTAAGGCAAGTGAACATCATATTTAAAATTTTAAAATATTTAAATTAAAAGAGTAAAATAATAAACATAAAAAAGAAAATTGAAACCCTTCTTCTTCACCCAACGACCAACTTTTTTCAGTAATTAATTAAGAAGTCATTTCTTCTTCCCTCACTAACCCCTCCTTTTTGGCCATTCTCACGCTTGAACAAACTTTTTATTTTCTTCTCCCCAATTTACCAACACCTATTTAGCAAGGTTTAGCAATCCGCTGAATGTTCTTTGTGGCAGTCTCTTTTTAATTTTTGAGATTGGATTTAATTGGGAGAAATGCTCACACCTTTTTCAGCTTGAAATTTTGTTCTTTTTTTTTCTTTGGGCAAAAATATACTATTTGTTAACTTACGGTAGCCATTTTTATTTTGTCCGTCGAGGTTTCGGGCTGTATTTCTATGTGACGACTGTCTTTGCTTTGTACTATTAAGTGACTCCAGTATTTGGAAATAGGTTTTGTTGCAAAAAAAACCCACCTCTTTAGCAGTTCCTGGCGATTGATTCACCACGAGAAGGAGAAAGCGGACCAGCTCTCGCCGGAGACCACTGAATCGCAGTGGCGTGAGAAAGAGGCGACACTGGCTAGTGGAGAGGAGAATGAGGTGGGTGAGGGTGCGGTCATGGCGGTGAAGAGGTTTTTTGGCCAGATTTGGTGGTGCGGTGGCTTTAGGTTATTGTTTTTGTGGAGATTGGAGGAGGAAAGAAAAA